TTTTCCAAGAAAGGCTTATTCTGGGAAATGCATTAATTTGGACCTTAGGAATTTACAGCAGCACCTGAAAATGCTCCCTGTCTAGGAGAGAAATCTCTCTCAGCAGCAGAGCACAGCTCTACTCAGACTGGGGTGGTCCTTCACTGTGTTCCCGGGGAAGCCACCAAAGCTGCCACCTCTCTTCTTGGTGTTCCTCAGACCTACAAAGAAAATGGTGAGAGCTGGTGACCACCAAACAGAAGCCTGGCAGAGGTATCCTTGCCCTGCACAGCTCGGAGGGAATAAGGACCCTGGGAGGTCCCTCCTCTTGGAGGGCCAGGCAGATGCCACAGGAACAGCTCTGGGCTCCTCGGGCTACCTCTGAAGGGCACACGCATTCAGTTCTGAAGAATGAAAGGGCCTGTTCTTCACAGAAAGTGTGCTGCTGTCCCACACCTCAGCTTACTGCAGTTATTTTTAAAAGCTTGCTAGTAACTCCCACATGCACAGTTCTTCCTTCTGTTCACCTGGTGGGCTACTGTTTGTGAGCCGCCAGCTCCAGCCGCTCCCCGCGAGCCGGCGGTGTCTGCCTCTGGAGGAAGGGCTGGCCCACGCACCGCGGCTACATCACGCCTTTGCTCACTGACACCCCAGACCAAACACTGCAGGATTACTTCTCATGACTCAAAATCCTGATGTTTGAGGTATCTGAGTTCGTTACAGCTTTCCTAGGGGACACGGGAACAAAGCACCTGCTCATCCTAAACAAGGCCCAGTTAGAATTCTTTGAAGAGCATGTCAAACTGCCCTGAGACTGGGCAACGGCTCAGTGCAGCTGAGGTTTAAGTGGAGGTCTTTAGTGATTTAATTGAAAATGTGCAACTGATATGTTCTCTAAGCATCATCAACATGTTTCCTACACTCTGAAGCAGGGGTTAGTTAGTTCCCGTCTGAGTGGACAGCCACTCAGCGCAGCCCGTGCAGGGGGCCTGACGTGCAACAGCGAGGCACGGGCCCTGCCCGCACCGAGCAGCGCCCGGCAAAGACAGTCACACACGCAACCTGTGAAAGCAGAAAGTCTGGGCGCGGAGGAGACTTAATTTCAAGGGGAGGGAGGGAGGGGTTCAGGGAGTCCCACGCAGTGCGCCCTCTGCTGTTCTTCATTCTCTGCTCAGGCGCCCCCCCGGGAGGGGAAGGCCGCAGCACTGGGGCCCAGTCGGACCTCCTAGGTAAAGATCCAGTTCGGGAGGAAGGTGAAATCTGCGCACACGGCGGGGTCCTGAACAGGGTGGGTAGGGGCTTGTCCTGTGTGCCGGCGCCAGCTGCCTGGCCTCGCGCTGAAGGGCGCCTTCCCTCCCGTTTGTTCGTACTTCACCCTGTCCAGGGGCAGCAGGTGTTTCAGGGCCAGCAGTGGGCCCGAGCACACCAGTCATCCATTTCTCATTAACGCGTCTTGGCTGGATCGACACCCCGGGTAGGTTGTAGCCTTTAATTTTCATGTCGCTGAGTAGCCACAGGACTGAATCTCCCTTGGAATGACCTAAAACCAATGTCATGAGGACTAAGGTATTGCTTCATTTCCACTTGAGAGGGGCACGTCGGGCTGGAAAGGGAGAAGCCTGCTCCTCGGTAGGAGCTTTTGTTTCCAGTTTGCCTGGTGCACAGCCTGGGGCTGAGGCCTGGCTGCGTGCCCTCCTGACTGCGTGGCCGTGGCCGAGTGGGAGAGGGAGCTGGTGAGCACTGATGGCTGACCAGCTGAGGATGAACAGGGGCTCAGGAAAGTCAACGGGAGGCCACTGGGGACCTGGGTATAGCCCACCCAGGTTTCTAGAAATAATGAATGCACAAAGGTAAATAATAATCACTAAGAAGACAGCTGGAATTATCTGAAAGTGTGTTGGGAAAACGGAAGGAGAGCAGAGCTCTGATATATCCCTCCCAACTCCATGCTCCCTTTAGTTCTTTCCTCCACCCCAAGCAAGGGAACTAAACAGCAGCAGCCACAGCAAATGCCCCACAGGACACCGGGGCGCCCAGGGCTACCCTAGGCTGTCTGGATGCTAAGATGTGTGTCCTCACAGTCCCTCTGAAGTGGGGACGATATCACACTCATTTACAGATGGAATCTGAGGCACAGAAAGG